CCCCCCCCCCCCCCCCCGGCCCCAGCTTCTTTTAGAAACTTCCCTTCTCACTTTTATACTTCTGTTTTTTTTTACTTCAAACTGTATATCCTGAGACATACTGAAGAGAGCCAACCAACAAATACTGTGATTTCCCCCTCCCCCCCAGCCGTGCAGAACGAGCGCGACCGAATCAGCACCCGGAGGAGCACTTTTGACTGCGGCAGCATCCCGTCCATCAACGCCCTGGCGCAGGCGGAAGTGCGGTCTCGCCAGGTACCTACCTGCCGGGCCCGCGGCCGCCCTGCTCGCAAGAATCAAATGTCTGCGTGGCACAGGGCTGAGATGCTCCACGTTCATTCACACGTGCTCGTTGATAAAATAAATTAACATCCATGAGAATTCAGGGATTTCACTTTGAAAATACTGGTTAGACTGTCGACTCGATTTTGACTTTTCCCGGACAAGTTTCTAATTTTTAAATGGAAAAATGAAATGCATTTCAGTCCAAGATTGTTTAAAAACAATTTGTTAACAAGGTTGATTTCAAATATTTGATGTATAGCACAATGGTCTCGGGGCAGGACTTTGTTTTATTGGCTGAATCTGTAAAGTCAGGTACCACAGTTTTCATCAGGCAGTTTGGCTGATACCTATCATCGGAGCTTCCTTCCTTGGAAATAACTCTGGACTCAAGAACCCACTTTGGTACCTACTTTGGAAACAGGTGTTTAAGGAAAGAGCCAGAATTCAGAAAACAGAGAAGAAAGAGTTTATTTTAAATTTCTAGAATGAAGGTATTCATTCTCAAGTTAAAAAATAAGGGTCCTAAATTATATACTTAAAAATAAATCACTTGATCAAATATAGAAACCCTTTGAAGATGGATTATTTTACTTTTGCCACCAACAGAATTGTCAATGTTACTTCTCTATTATAAAGCAAATATGAAGTAGCTAACTATTAATCAGGTCCTATAATGAGTCAATGTAACTACTTTCGTTTTTGATAACACGAGGGTAATGTGGCGAGGTGAACATCACTATTATCATCACCATTACTTGAAGATTACTTAATGGTCCTATAAAGAAGTTAAAGAGCAGCTTATAGGAAAGCTGTGAGGAAATACATATACACTACTGGACACATATGCACGCACACATATTCAAAAGTAAAGTTTATAAGAAATTTGAGAAAGTGATTTTTTTCTGCAAAAAAGCACTTTAACACCACCTATTTTTCTATAGTTCAAAATTATATATTTTTAAATTGTTATATCTTAAGCTTTTTAATGTTGCTGAGTCAAAGGTTGGTTTCTTCATGTTATTTTGATGGGCTTCCATTTAAAGCAGCAACATAATTAGTTCTGGCTTCTTGTCTAAATCTTTTTCTTTCCAGTTTGAAAAATTATCCAATGGAAACATTTTCTCCATATAGTTCAACAAATTAAAGATGGGCTTTCTTAATGGAAATATTTTTTTAATGAAAAATAAGAACATAGAGCATATTTTATGTGAATACTCCGTATCTCTTTATACAGTCATCTTGAATTATGAAGCTAACTTCCAGTTGTGTGTCTCATTTTACAGATTTGGCCGGTAAAATAAGACACTGCTCCCAGAGCATGGTACTAGATAGTGAATGTTTTCAGTTGGTAGGTATTTTGTGAATCCATTTTAAGGTGTTTAGCATATTTCAAGACACTGTGATGATAATAGCACCCACTTCAATGGTGTTTACATATTTCAGTCACAGAAAAATAGGAATATTGGTCAGATACTTTTTTAAATGGTAAATTAATAAGTCTTCTTCTTAATTCTAGATCTCAGTCTCAAGCCCTAGTGCAAGCACTGACATAAATGTTAAGAAAATTGCAAGTATTGGTGATGTTTGCGAATCTATGAAACAGCAACTGTTAGTCTTGGTGGAGTGGGCCAAATATATTCCTGCCTTCTGTGAGTTGCCATTGGATGATCAGGTATAAGTTAAAGAAATGATGAATGTTTAAAAAATGTTTTTTGAACTTTGCTAAAGTTTTTGTGTTCTTTTAATTAGAATAAATGTGCTATATTCGACAAAGGTTAAATTATCTTATGAGAAGGAAATTGGTTTTCTTGTCCATTCCCCTTCTTGTTCCAACAAGAAGATTTAATCTTTTAGGGTCTTGCAGATTTATTGATTGGATGAAGTTGAGCAAGAGTCTCTTCTTCTGCCTTGTAGTTTGAAAAGCTTAAGTGAGGGAGAAAGGCCAATAGCAAGTAACTGCCTTCCTGAATTAAGGTATTGGGAGAGAAAGTGTCTGGGAGGCAAATGGTACACTACTGGGTCTTGGTGTTTACTGAAGATGCTATATAAAATCCCTCAGAAATGCCAGATCACTCCTAAACAGAAACAACAGAAGTGGTCTTGGTTCTTAGTGGGCACTTTATGCAACTAACATACAACATTTTGACTTTAATGTTATCAATTTTATTCTAGCATTTACTATATAAAAATTAAAGGTCTGGCAAAAATGCCTGTAGAACCATGTTCTGAAATATACAGAGAAATAGAATTCAGATATAATGATCTTGTCGTAACACATATGTTTTCATACTTTGTCATATGTACATTTTAATTAATAGTTAAGAAATTTCATTTCCTGTCTATGAAGATTAGATTATTAGTTGGAGATTTATTTGAACTTTTCCATTTAGGTAGCATATAATTTGTAGGTACAAATAACTTGAAGATTTCCAAACACTGAGTGCCCCATGATATACGTTATACCCAGTTATATTTTTATACTCTCTGACCAGTGCTCTTTATGACTGATACACAAAAACAAAAACAAAAAATAACCAAAAAGAAAGGTTCATGCTTGTTTAAAAATAAAAGAATGGCAAAATATTTATACAACCAGAAAAAAAAAACATGATCATGGGAAGTTAGCAGTTACATTTCTAGGAGACATTTCACCTGGTGACAAAAAAACAAAACAAAACTGTGAAGTCTGAAATCATTCTTAAAATGTTCTCTAACTGCCTTCCTGGTATGAGTCACAGTTATTGACATATCATAAAGATAGCCTTGACTCAGAAGATTATTTCAGAGTGAATAATGCCAAATTGCTAAAACCTACTTGTCTTACTTCAACCCATATAAGGAGGATTATGTTATTTATCAGTTTTATATTTTTATTATCACTCCTCTTTCAAAGTTGCTGACTTATGTATGAAGACAAAGATTTAAAAGTTGGGAAATTAAAATCCAGTAACCTGTCAAAAAGTATTTTTTGTTTATTAACTAACACTTTGAATTTGAAACACAACATTAATAGCCATGGATTGGTGAATATCTATTATGGGTAAGACACTAGAGTATCAGCTTTTGGTTGTAATATATACTACATTATTTTATTTAATCTTTTCAGGAGCTCTGGTATAAGTATGATTATATCCAGTTGTATTCAGTTTCTAAAACTGAACCCTAGATCAGTTAAATTCACTCAGTAAATTCATCAAGCAAATATTTTTTAGGACTACTGTTCAGTTTTAAGAACTATGGCTATTTGGCAGTAAACATACAGATTGCATCACTATTCTCATAAAGTATGCATTTGACTTGGAAAGACACAAAATAAAAAATATACAGATTGTGAGTAATTCTAGGTGGGGAGAAGTTCTATAAAATGAAGTGGGATGAGTTGCTGGAGGGACGGTGTGAAACAGCATGAAATGCTTTAGGAATCAGAGATGATTTTTCCTGAGGCTTGAATGACAAGAGATAAAGAGCTGAAAAGAAAGAATTCCGGGGACAGGAACCTGGCATGTTCAAAGGTTCTGAAGCGAGCAGGAATAATGTGAGCAAGGGATGTTGCAAGATGAAACCAGAGACATGGGTGGGAGGCAAAACATTGAGCCATCACCTGTGAGGCCATGCTGGAGGAGTGTGGATGTTATTCTAAGGGAAATAAGAAACTGGGAGGTGTTTTCAGAAAAGGGATGTATTATTCTACAAATAATAATCTTGGAAAATTATTAAATTATTATCCTACAAATAATATTTCATCTTGGAAGCTCTGTTGAGAAGGATTTAGAATGGAGGAACCAGAAAGGAAGCAGGAATAGCTGGTAGCAATTTGGAGTGTATTGTAGCAGGCCAGGTAATGAATCACAAATGCTTGGGCTGGGGTGGTAGCGATGAAGAAGCAGCACTAAGATTTGCTGTACAACTAGAGGGGAAACAAAAAAAATCTTGTTTTTGATGTAAACAAGCATTTTGGATAATGGTGTCATTTACTAGGATGATGAAGATGTTGGAGAAACATTACTTGATGTGTTAAATTGGAAATGCTTCCTTTTCTTCCTAGTGGTAATGTTCACCAGAGAGTTGAGTATATGCATAACAATCAACTGAGAGCTTAGTACAAAGAGGTTCAATCCAGAAAGTGTCAAAACCCAGATCCCCCATCCTCTTTTCAGTATATCACAAATTCTTGCTTTGCTTTTGTTTATTCAGTTTATTACATGTAAGAGATTGTTTTATATAAATGTTCTCATTTAGTCCTCATGTAGTCCACTTTGAGGTTTTTATCACTATCTCCACTTGATAGATGAAAATGAATGAGTCCCAAACATACTGGTTAGCCTACCAAAGGAAAAATAGGTAGTACGTGGTCAAATCAGAATTCTAACTCTATGTGTGTTTGATTCTATTTCGTCCCGGTATACACTTCATTGTTCTGCTTTTTTTTTTGTAGCCATTGTATTGACTTACTAGTTTTAGAAATTTTGAAAGTAAAATTTTGTTGTTATGCTAAAATAGAAAAACAGAAGACTTAATGATGGCAAGTATCTATGAATATTATAGTTTATTAAAACAAAAGAAAGTCCCAAGCTAAAAGAACACTAAGTTAATCAAACTCATGGTATACCATCTTTTAATTATTTTATTTTTCAATTAATTGTTAAACTTGGAATTTTTAGGTGGCACTGTTGAGAGCTCATGCGGGGGAACACTTGCTCCTTGGAGCTACAAAGAGATCCATGGTGTATAAAGATATTTTGCTTTTGGGTAAGTTGTTTTTTTTAATTTAAGAAGAAATTATGTGTGTTTCATACCAACAACAGATCTATTCTGTATGTACCAAGCATTTGTAGAGTCTTATTAAGTGGTCATCTGACTTCACAAATTGGATTTAATTGATTGTGTCTCACACAGGCCCTATTTTTCCTTGACTTGATTGCAGAGAAGTTCACAGTGCATTGAAATGTTCAGGGTGCATTAAGATTTAAAAATAAGAACTGGAGGAAGGTATCAAAAGGTTCAAACTTCCAGTTAAAAGATAAATAAGTACTAGTACTAGGGATGTCACATACAATATTACTATAGCTAACATTGCTCTATGATACACAGGGAAGTTAAGAGTAAATTCTAAGTTCTCATCACAAGGGAAGGTTTTGTTTTTCTTTTCTTTTTGTGTCTGTATGAGATGATGGATGTCAACTAGACCTATTGTGCTAATCATTGCACAATATATGTAAATCAAACCATCAGCCATACACTTTAAATTTATAAAGCCATGTATGTCAATTATTTCTCAATAAAACTGAGAAAAATATTTAAAAATAAAATAGAGATGTTCCTCAATGGACATAATATTGAAGTATATTTAAATCATATTAGGATAAAATAATAATTTGTGTGACCATTTTATGGATGTTTCAATATTGTTTCACATTCTCTTAGTATCTACTTATTTGACAAACTTGTAAGGAACATGTTTATCTCCTATCATCTTATTACCTCTCTGCTAGAAAATCCCTAGTTTCAAAAGAACATTTGGTAACAATGTCTGAAAATTCTGATAGTTCAACAGTGGTGCAAAAAGAGGTAAAAGTAGAATGACAGGTGGAGTGGGAGGAGTAAGACAAAAGGAAAAGCTTTGATTTCCTTTAGTAATTTCTTTTATCCCCTGCCTTACTTAATTTATAAAATTAGGTTTCCTGTTGAGAAAGTTGAGATAACTCTAGTGCTTCTTAGCTCTACCTCTCTCTGGCTATGTAAAATAACTCTATTTCTCTGATAGATATTTTCTTCCAGTATGTAAATAAATTGAACATAATATAACAATAGCTAGTATTTACTGAGGACTTACTATGTAAGATGCATTGCTCTAAGTGCTTTACATGTGTATACATACTATCTTGTTCAGTCCTCACAATAATCCTAAGGGATAGGTACTATTCTTTTCAGCCCATTTTACAGGTAAAGAAATGTAGGCAGATAAAGTTTACCTAAGGTCATAAAGCTAGTAAGGGATAGAGCCAGGATTCTAAACTACAAAATGTAGCTGCAGAGGCTCTGCTCTTAAATTCTATTAAATGCTTTTTTGAATTTATAAGACCTTGAAAATACTGTTCTCATTATAGATCTGAATACAATATACCTAAAAAACAAAGTTTTTACTACATGATTCTAAATAGTTTTATCCTGAATAATTAGGTAAACAACTTTTCATCATTCCTCAAGTCCTTTTGCACACGTTGTTACACTGAAGATTATCTTTGCCTGCAGTGAAAGAATTCAGATAATTCTGCTTCTTATAAGACCAGAAATAACAATTGAGCCATTGTTTAGGAGACTTAATATGCATCTAATTTTCTAATATTTTAGAAACTACAGTAAATATCATATTATAACCAGAGACTTCCTAAAACTGAAACTGGTTGTAGGGATAGGTAGTCCAGTTTCCATCCAATTTTTCTGAACTCCCTTGAATTCACTTCCTTTGGCTTGTTAAAATTGTGTCTCAATAGTGATTATACCTACATACAACTAGACCACTAAAGGAGTACTGGTTTTAATCCACTGTAAGCAAGAAAGCTTCTTTAGGTTTTATATTATGCTCATTAATGAGTCAGACACTAATAGATAACTGACATAGTGGAAAGCAAATCATTACATTTTGTTTCTCTCTTGTCAGTTATTAGCCTTTATCTGTATTATCGCCAGTACTGAGGCTGTTAAGATGCATGTGATCACATTATCTGTGTTATTGATCCCTGAAGTGTTCTTAAGTTTTTCTAACAACTAACTGACTACTGAGAGAGGAAGAACTATTACTGTTTCTTTACGGGAAGACCATGTAAAACATTGGCTTGTAAAAATATAACAATATCTGACAATTTTGAGGGGGGGGGGTGATCACTTTTCTCCCTAGGAAACAGCTACGTCATTCACCGCAACAGTTGTGAAGTTGAGATCAGCCGTGTGGCCAACCGAGTTCTGGATGAGCTGGTCCGACCCTTTCAAGAAATTCAGATCGATGACAACGAATATGCTTGTTTGAAGGCAATTGTATTTTTCGACCCAGGTTTGTTTTCAGTCCATTAAAAAGTAAATTATAATGGAAATTAACATACTTTTTCATATTCAAATATTCATTCTAACACTCTAGTAAGAGTCAATCTTTAGATTTCCCTTTTTATTACTTTATTAGATGCAAAAGGGCTCAGTAATCCAGTAAAGATTAAGAACATGCGGTTCCAAGTGCAGCTTAGTTTGGAGGACTACATCAACGACCGGCAGTACGACTCCCGGGGGAGGTTTGGCGAGCTACTCCTGCTCCTGCCCACGCTGCAGAGCATCACCTGGCAAATGATTGAGCAAATACAGTTCGTTAAACTTTTTGGGATGGTTAAAATTGACAACCTACTTCAGGAAATGTTACTGGGTGGTAAGTACATTTAAGAATTTTCTGTTATCAGCATCACCCTACATACTTTCAAACAAGTTTGACCTGCTTATTTCTTTGTCCATGATATAATGAAGTCAATTTTTTACATTTAGAAAGTCTGCAACACCCACTGGATGGAGACTAAAATACTCGAACATTTTGAAGTCCTCAGTCTTACTAGTCCCATCATCTGTGCTCCACACTATCCCTCTTACCTCAATTTTCAAACCTTCCAACTATGATAAATGGAAATATGTTTCCTATTTTTAGTATTGCTTGGAGCATATTGTATTGTTCTATGCCTTGACTCCTTTAAAAGCTCAAGGATACCAGAATCATAACAATGTAAATACACACACACACACACACACACACACACACACACACACACACACACACACATATATATAACAAATACCTTGAAAATAAACAATTTACCTCCTGAAATAATTAATTGACATAATACAGTGAAAAGGGAAAACTGAGATTTCATTGCTGCAGTAAATGTCAGGACGAAGTTAAGAAATCATTAATTTTGTTTCTGATCTAAATTAAATTTCCTTGTAAAATCACTTTATTTTAGTTTAGTTTAGTTTTAGTTTTCTGGTGCTTAATGTGTTCCTAATGATGTCTTTCTGAAACAAAAGTTGTTTATGCTATTAGGGTGATCCCCAATACTATAAACTCGAGGTAAGTGGTTCTTGGAATTGCTCTAACAGCAGGCAGCAAACCTAATGATTCCAGGAAAGGGCATACAGGGCCCATTATTAATATACAACATAATAGGATACAACATTAATCTAGTCAATGCATAGTGAAAGCTGACATTTTGCTTAATATGGCAGTGGTTCTATTAATTTATTTTTGAATTCCCAAAGAGCACTTTGCGAAACTAGCAATATTCAAGCTGCCAATCAAAATATTTGTTCCAAGGTAAACTTCTATTCCTGATTAAATATCACTAACGCAAGCATCCTTTTATCTTCTGTAGGTGCTGCCAATGACATTAGCCATCTCCATCACCCAATGCATCCACATGTGTCTCAAGATCCATTAACTGGACAAACTCTACTGTTAGGGCCCATGTCAACACTGGTTCATACAGACCAGATCTGTAAGTATCTGGGCTACTTTCAAACATAATCCCACTGGAACTTGTTTAACTGAGAAAAAGAAGAATTTGGGGAAATAATCTATTAGTACACAGAAATTACAAAAAACTTTGAGTACAATTGCCTCTCCAGTACTCAACTATGGGAGATTAAGATAGTCAGCAAATCACTTAGGCATGAGTCTGCTCCCTAAAATGGAATATGAGTATCTAAATTTCTCTGAAGTACAAAAGAATGTATAGGCAGCCCTAGATTTGCACAGGACCATAAAAATGACTGTTCAAATGCCAAGAAATCTTAATAATCAATGGGAAAATTATAGTTGCTTATGATCTTTAAAAATGTTTGTTGAAACAGTAAATACTCTCTTAACTACAGGTTATAAATACATAGGTAAATTAAAAATAGAGTAATACTACTATTTATTTAACACTAATTTAAAAATTAGATACCTTGAGAATTGGCATTTTATTTCTTTGTTAAAAAAATAAAACTAAAAAAAGTGTAGTTTGAACAGTGCTTGCTACCTTCTCCTATAACTTACAAGGGGAAAGTGAACATCTTTTCTATGCATTGATGAATTTTACTCTTTTTGGAAGTTTGGGTCAGCTTCCAACATTTTATCCTTTGCACTCTCAATGTCCTAAAATATCTCTGAGAATTAGATATGAAATTTTTGCCAGTTTCATTTCTTCTGGGACATCCTCATCCTTTTCAATACAATTAGTTTCCTCATTAATGTCAGTAAGTTTTCCTTCACTAAGTTTCTGGATGCTTATTTAAAGATTCGAGGAGCAGCTATTTGTCTATAACTCTATTTATGGTCAATTGAGTTTCACTTCCAGTCATTTTTTGTTTTTGTTGCACTTCTTAAACTTTTTTTGGCCAATTCTCTTTCAATTGTCCATTTTTGTAAAACATCACACGAATTTGTGCCTGGGGGACAAGGAGGCAACACAACCACACACTACATACTTTGTTGTCATAACTGAATAACTGGATAAAGTATGTTCAGGAATGAATCACACACAGACTTAAAGAAGTGATATGATTGGTCACTGATCACATTGCACATCCATTATTTAGGTAATCAATACAGATTGAAGAGTTAGTAATGAAGTTTGTATTTATATACAAATTGTTTGTTACCATGCTGACCGAAATTTGAACCGAGTTTTTGCAGGACTGGATTGTTTAACTTAAGCTGTAGTAACTCATATGCATACATATCAGAATTGTGCAAAGCAGGGGCTGCTGCGAAACCTCTTTGGAACTAAAATGATTCTATAAATACTAGTGGTTATTAATAGCTAAGTTAATCTGATATTAACACAAATTCTACTTTTATAAACTACCTTGGAGATAAAAATCTCTATTTGACAAAATATCTAAAATTGATTGTTTCTGAATTTATACTAATTAATCATAGATTTACCTTTGACCTATCTTCTCTGAACACTAAACTAGCTAAGTCTCTGAGATACCTTGAATTATTATGATTGAATTATTATGCACATCTGCATTGCCTACTGAATTTACAATAGCCCTTAATAACAAGTTATATTGTTCAGTGTAAAGTAACAATTTAGTTACTCACTAGTGGTAGGGAAAGTGGAGGCCTCAGAAATGCGTGTTAGCACTACTGTCCTTCAGATGCACTTCTGGGAGGCTTATGTATAAATTGTGTTTGAAACACCAAGTTCTTTGAGTATGTGATGAGGCAGAAATGAAATTGCTATAAAAAACACAAATTATAGAAATAGAAACATTTGTAAATCACAACATACTTGAGAGACATTAATATGGGACCATTCTTGGTTCGGAAGTTACCATTTTCACTTAATAAATAGTCAAGAACAGAGACTGGCAGGTCCAATACCATACCAAAGAGTCTATGGAGTTATCTCTCTTAGAGATCAGATATTCATAAATTCAGAAAATAAAAGACATTAACAACACATTAAACATTATAGGCATCAACTGACAAGGAAGTTTAACAATTCTCCTGGTGGTTGAATCATTTACTTTTCAAATTTTAAAATCTAGTATTTTAAAAAGCATACATATTTATTGGCTTTAATCTTTTTAGACTTACATCACCATATTTTTCATCTTTACTTTTCCTCTTTCAACATAATATTTGTGAGAATCATTTGTAACAGAAAACCTTGCTCTGCTTTGTCCATTTGGAAAGGTCTATATTTTATGCAAAGCAAGACATTAAATGTATACACACACCTAAATGTAAGGTCATGCATATATTTTTGGCCTTTAAAAGCAGGCCACAGCACTTTGAGATCCATCCTAAAGATCCAGAAATAATTTTGTTAAAGCAAATGTGGTTATTTTTTGTCAGTTAAATTGCAAATAAAAATGTGGCTTCTAAGTAATTGCTAGTCTATACTTAATAATATAAAGTTAATATATGAAAGAAAATCTGGCAAGAAGGGACTTATTTTTATATAGAACTTTTTAAAAGCTGTTGGGAAAAATAATCTATAAGGTTTTCAATGCCTCATTCTGATCATCTAAAATTTTCTATTTGTTCTTTTAAATATATGGAATAATAATAAATGTGACTGCTAAAATATTTCAAGATTTTTTAAATTATAGAATACCTCATGGATTATTTTACAATATAGTAAAAGTTAACAATAAGAGAAAATAGAGTGAATTCTAGACAATGAAGTATTCAAACTGTAATTTTTTTTTCAATTACTCAGACTTTTTCTTTGCATTGGTGGGGAAAGAAAGGATAGACAAGCTCAATTGTAAAAGAGTAAGCATCTTTCAGAAGCTTTCAACTACTAAACATAGATTTCAAAGCACTTGAAAAGTATCTTAATTTTATATGCCATCTAATATCTTTGAGTTAGTGAAATCCAAGCCAAATATATTTTATTTTACATGCATTTTTTATTGCAAAAATTATGAACTTTGTTTTATGAGATTTGAAAAGAAACTAGCATTTCATTCATCCTCTTCACTAACTCTTTTTTGCTTGGTTTGTGAGATAACTAAATCTCATAAATGCTATTAAGAAAGACAGGAAACACCTTAAAGTGACTAAGACTTACTGTGGGTGATCTATTTCCAGTTTAATGCTATTTGGGGAAATAAGATGGAAATGCATCTCCAATAGTAGGTCAGTGAGCCAGTAATGTAGTATATAAATCATGACTTTATATAGGATCTTTTAAAAACATAGACAAAATAAAATAATGCAGATTGGTGGCAAGCAGGACTTAATTGGATGGGCCAGGGTGATTATCATCATCACATACGATTCTCTTGATTCTTTTTTAGCAACTCCTGAAACCCCACTCCCTTCCCCACCACAAGGCTCTGGACAAGAACAGTACAAAACAGCTGCAAACCAAGCTTCAGTCATTTCACACCAGCCTCTCTCCAAACAAAAGCAATTGTGAGAATATGTTTACTTTTGAATGGCACTGCATAAAGGTGAGAAGTGGTTGGTCTCGAAATATCTCAGGATAGTACTTTCGGCAAACTCTTTAACCCAGGCTTCTTCATGGTGCTGTTGTAAGATGGTATCCTGTTTTCTTGTTTATATGCTCATTTTGTTTGTCGTTTCTATTGTTTAAAACCTTTAGAGGCCATCAATGTATATCTGAGTTCCCACATGTTTTATAGTGTGTTTTTCCAGCTTCCCTTGCACTGTTTCTGAACCAGTTGAATCTTATGTACTACTTTCATTTGTTGTCTGAATATTAATTTAAATTTGTAAATACTTTATTATGATGTGATACAGAGTTAAGGTTGTTTTTTGACTTAGAATAGTAGATCAGAAATCCCAGATTAATATAAAAATGAACCAAGTTCTTTATAAATTTTGAACTTGTAAATTGGAAAAATAAAGCAGTTCCTGTAGAATAGGGCACATTTCTTTGAGGAAGAGTAACATGGATATCCAGTGGCTAAGAAGTATCTTTTTGGCCCACAAGTAAATATGCCTATCTTAAGTTTAGAAAATTGCAAATAGCCATTCATTCCAAGGATGACTAGATAGTCCTTGAAATCTGCCTGTATAAGGATGTACAGTTTAATGCTATTTGGGGAAATAAGATGGAAATGCATCTCCAATAGTAGGTCAGTGAGCCAGTAATGTAGTATATAAATCATGACTTTATATAGGATCTTTTAAAAACATAGACAAAATAAAATAATGCAGATTGGTGGCAAGCAGGACTTAATTGGATGGGCCAGGGTGATTATCATCATCACATACGATTCTCTTGATTCTTTTTTAGCAACTCCTGAAACCCCACTCCCTTCCCCACCACAAGGCTCTGGACAAGAACAGTACAAAACAGCTGCAAACCAAGCTTCAGTCATTTCACACCAGCCTCTCTCCAAACAAAAGCAATTGTGAGAATATGTTTACTTTTGAATGGCACTGCATAAAGGTGAGAAGTGGTTGGTCTCGAAATATCTCAGGATAGTACTTTCGGCAAACTCTTTAACCCAGGCTTCTTCATGGTGCTGTTGTAAGATGGTATCCTGTTTTCTTGTTTATATGCTCATTTTGTTTGTCGTTTCTATTGTTTAAAACCTTTAGAGGCCATCAATGTATATCTGAGTTCCCACATGTTTTATAGTGTGTTTTTCCAGCTTCCCTTGCACTGTTTCTGAACCAGTTGAATCTTATGTACTACTTTCATTTGTTGTCTGAATATTAATTTAAATTTGTAAATACTTTATTATGATGTGATACAGAGTTAAGGTTGTTTTTTGACTTAGAATAGTAGATCAGAAATCCCAGATTAATATAAAAATGAACCAAGTTCTTTATAAATTTTGAACTTGTAAATTGGAAAAATAAAGCAGTTCCTGTAGAATAGGGCACATTTCTTTGAGGAAGAGTAACATGGATATCCAGTGGCTAAGAAGTATCTTTTTGGCCCACAAGTAAATATGCCTATCTTAAGTTTAGAAAATTGCAAATAGCCATTCATTCCAAGGATGACTAGATAGTCCTTGAAATCTGCCTGTATAAGGATGTACATTAGATAAAACATGTTAGTTTACCAGTTAGGATATAGGATCAGCTGTAAAAAAGACACCCTTGAAAGAGTTGCTTAAATAAGAGAGACATTTATTTCTCCCTCCTAAAACAATCTAAAATATTCATGCATTGAATAGAACTTAGCACATGCCCACATCTGGTTCCCAGGGAGGCTGGCAGAGTGGTCATTAGGTAAAAAGCCTTCTGCCACCTAAAACTGTACCACGCTGGGAGGCTGATATCAGGAGTCAAAATAGCCGATCCTCAGGGCAACCTTATAAGAGAGGTATTATCTTTTATAAATAAAAGAAACCTTTAGCTTAGAGGGCTTAAGGAATGTAATCAAATTTCTTGAACCTAAAGAGTAGAAAGGCCACATTTAAAACCAGGTCTGCTTGACTTTAATGAGAATAAATCTGTGGTATGGTATGAAAAATGTGAGCTTCTTACTGTGGTTTTAAATATATGCAATAGAGTGATGATTGAATACTATCCATCATGTACTTGTAACACATGTATTCATGTGAGCAGTGAGTGCAAATTTGTTGAGACATGAATCAGAAACCACTTTTGTATTTTTAAGAAGAGTCTTACCCTTAAAAAAGACTTTTAAACAAATTAAAGAAAATAAATAATACACCAGATAGGTTATGATGAAAACAAAAATTCAAATCACTGACTCAGCAGATTTTCAAAAATTCAGGGGACTGAAGAGTATAGTTCTCTGGAGCCCTAAACTATTCTGTATCATCTAAAGCTGGAGCATGTTTAAAACAAGTAATGATAATTAATGATAGGCCACCTCCCAAAAAAGTGATGTATCTTTCTCTCTCACTCTCATCTCCCCCTCTCTCTCTCTTACACACACACACACACACACACACACACACACACATCTAAAGCTGAAAGAGACTGAATTAAATGATTTTTATAGAACCTTTCAAAATTTTGGATTATGATTTCATAACCCCCACTAACCTTACAAATAAAAAGGTTCTGTTAATGTTAACTAACTTATTAACTCTTGAAGGAAAAAAATGATTACCTAGAAGCTATCATTCATTGGTTTAATAAAATCAGTAAAATTCTTACAAGAGCAAGTACCTGGAAACTGTAAGATCTATATTTGAGAGAGAGAAGGGAAGAGGAAAGTTTTCTTAATTCTTATTTTTTTTGGAAATTTACTAGTGTGTCTATTTCATTAATAAGAATGCCTCTGATTTTTATAAATATAAATATTTGTGATAGGTTTCTGTTTAATTGTGTTGTTCTCTTAGAAAATATAAAAAAAAATTCATTTTTAGTGAGCCTTCTAACTTATCTGCATATATTTTCTAAACAGCTATGTTTTAGAAATTATTGCTAACAATTTCACTTTAATAACTATGGTCAGGGAATTTGTAATATAATATTTTTGTATACTTAACTGCCAAAAATGCTGGACAAACAGGAACTGAAGGTTTCAGCCTATTTTCAAAATACTGATAAGGAGTGTTATTGCTTTTATATAGCACAGAACTTTTTTCAGGTTATAAAAATGAATAATTTATTGTGAAATATGATTCATTTTATAAATGTAAAATTATTTTTATAAATTTCATTGTTGAAAATCAAAACTTACTAGATTTTTTTAAATGTTAAATTATAGTGAATTAAAATATTTCTAAACTGTGGTACCATGTTGTTCACTGAACTTTCTAAATAAAAATAGAGAAACACTGAAGGGGTCTGCTTCGTTATTGTTCAAAAATGATTTCAGAATGTGAAAGATACTGATAGTGTATTTTATATGGTCATGTAATTAAATTTACATTGAGTTTGCTAATACTGGGCTTTAGTTGCCAAACAAAATGAATTAGTGCATCTCCGAATAATCATAGAATTTGACACTGACTAAAGGGAGAATCCTTATATTTGCACTTTAATTAAGGAGTTTTGCTTGAAATTTTTGTCACCGTAATTAAAATAAATGAGTAGGCTGGCGGAAACATTGTATACATATACTTTGGCACATTCACTGTTAATCTAGGTTTTATTGGCTGGTGTCCTTCATTCATATTTAAAGTTTTTATAAAACATCTTACATTATGAAGACCAGTCAATTTCATTTTTCTAGAATTCAACTCAGTTTTATTTCGTTTGTACTCTAATCAGGGTAATATGTGCACCTCATGTAACAACACAAATTGTACTTAGGGTTTATAGTGAAAATCCTCCTTCCAAATATGTGTCTTGCCTGAGGGTTACAGTCCCAGGCAAGTTCACTATGGATTCAGTGAGACCGAGAAATGACAATGGAATGTTCTTGGGGTCAAAGAGTTTACACCTGGCTTTATTCTCACAGCAGTAGATCAAGCACCAGAATTATGTCTGCATCCAACAATCTGCAGGACTGTAATCCTCCTTCATCTCTGCCTCCACCCAGAGCACTGGGCAGAGCTCTTTATAGTGAGTCAGTCAATTCTAGCTTATGGCCTACGAGTGTGGAAGCAGTAGCCTAGCAGTAGGGCAATTACATCATCGAGTAGTTTAGGGTCAGGTGAGGATCCTGGCCATAGGAACTTCCATTCTCCCCACAATATGAAACAGGCAATTTTTATATTTATGTATAATAGAAGAATATACCCTAATTTATTAGGGAAAGTGAGAAGAGAAAGAATGTCCTTGTTCTGGATCATAGGAAGAATGATACTAAGAATAAAGACAACACATGGAACATATTAATAATAAGGTTTATTGTAACTATAGTTGAGTGTAATTTGACATCCATTTCAACTTGAGTATTTGAGCTGATCTTTTTAACTTATGTCCCTTCCTCATTTCAAAAATATCACCGAACTGCCCAGAGACTTTTTAAAAAATAAAATATATCAATAAATGTACTGAAACTCTAAATGTTTCTGCAAAATAGAGGGCAGATGACATCAGAGTAAAGGAAATACAGACTAGTCTGTGATTAAGCACAGGCATAATGGTGCTGCTGTGAAAGTACTATGAAATTCCATAAACAGAGCCCTAAAAATTTTCAATTTTGTAACACTACAGGCTAAAACCAAGGTAAGAGCATGTAACAATCAATGAAGGTCAGATCCAAGGACATAAGGAGCTGTAGTAGTAATCCAATGTAGAGGATCCATAGTGACAGTCACCTGATTTTCCTAGAGGCAGAGGGGCTGATCAGTGAAGGAGGTTCAGGGCCACAGCTATTTCCTAAGAAGAAGAATTGTATTCAGTTACAGAAGGGATAGAAAGATCCTAACACACAGCCAGGGAAACTCTACAAATAAGCAATTACTGAACAAGTCAGTGAACTTCCCTGTCATGACCACCTTTCAAAATTAGCTAAAACTGTATTTCTTATATCCAGTTTGATTCCTTGTCTGAAAAAAAAATAATTCTTTAGAAAATACAAAGTTTACCCTATGAGACAAAAAAGCAGTAGGTGCTTTGGAGGGGGTTTGAGGTCAGGGAGGAGAGAAGAAATTGTATATTAAAACTAGTTTTACACAGGTTGCAAATAATAGGGTACAACTGTATATACATATTTCTTGATACTTCATAAAAGAAATGGAATTAAAAAAATAATTTATAGGTAACCATTAATTGAAGAAAATAGGATTCATAAAATATAAAATTCTAGAAAAAAGGAAAAAGAAAAATTGAGTAACTTAGTAGAAGTAGTTTAATAAAAAAGATTAAGGATGCATAGACAGCTAAAAAACAATATGGGAGATCTATGACTAAACTTTGATACCTCATTAAGTTTTGCAGGTTAAGACAATCACCTGGTGTAGTAATTTTTTAGATTAAATGAGAATACAAATTCATCTGTGTTTTTATTACAGTACATAATTATTCACAAAATGATCTAGTAAGAGGCATTTATGCTTATCCAAAATAGACATATTAAACCCTTAGAAAATGCCACCAATTTGTAGGCACTAGAGCTCTTGAGTTTCTAACGGAAATTCAAAGAGGGAAAATATTAAATCATGGTCATACAAATAACTACAAATAA